GTCAGGCATGATCTACTTGCTATGAATCCATACTGGATTCCCTGCTGCATTATTTTTCCTGCTGGACTCGCACAGATATGATTCTTCATAATCTTTTTAAAGACCTTTCCAAGGATGGAGGTGAGACTGACTGGCCTATAATTATTCGGATCCTTCTTCCTCCCATTCTTGAAAATAGGGACCACTTTGGCCCTTTTCCAGTCCTCTGGGACCTGACCTGAGTGCCACGAGCGCTCAAACAGCTGTGCCAGTGGTTCTGCTATGACACCGGCCAATTCCTTCAGTACTCTCAGATGCAGCTCATCCGGGCCTGCTGACTTAAACACATCTAGTCCATCCAACTGACTCTGCACCAAGTCAGTGTCGACAGTTGGTGGGCTGGTGTCCCTCTGATGCCTGTCTAAGAGCACATTAGGAGACTTATCTTGATCCCTGTTAAAGAAAACTGAGGCAAAAAACTCATCAACAGCCTTGTCCCCCCTCTCTGTCACTAATTGCTGATTCTTGTTTAGTAGAAGTCCTATGCTGCCCTGCACCTTCCTTTTATTCCCTACATACCTAAAATAAGACTTTTTGTTTTCTTTAATTTGTGTTGCCAGCCTCAGTTCACATTAGGAGACTTATCTTGATCCCTGTTAAAGAAAACTGAGGCAAAAAACTCATCAACAGCCTTGTCCCCCCTCTCTGTCACTAATTGCTGATTCTTGTTTAGTAGAAGTCCTATGCTGCCCTGCACCTTCCTTTTATTCCCTACATACCTAAAATAAGACTTTTTGTTTTCTTTAATTTGTGTTGCCAGCCTCAGTTCTGTAGTTGCTTTGGCCTTTGTAACTGCCTCCTTGCAAGCATGGGCCAAGTAGGTATACTCCTTCTTGGTAGCTTCCCCCTGCTCCCACTGCCTATATGCCTTCTTTTTTGCCCTTAGGCTCCCCTGGATTTCCCTGTTTAGCCAAGGAAGTTTTTTGGCTCCTTTCCCCCTTTTCCCTCATACTGGGAGCGTCTCCCTCTGCGCCCGAAGGATTGCCTGCTTTAGGAATGGCCACCCTTCCTGGACTCCCATCTCGCCAATACTCCTATCTTGCAATGTGTCATTGACTACGCTCCTGAGCACACTAAAGTTAGCCTTCCTAAAGTCAAGCACTTCCACCCTATGCTAGATGGTGAATTCAGTTCATTGGTGGTCACCAATCTGCAGCTCCTCTACTAGGTCCTCCCCCGTAGCCAACACCAAGTCCAGTAAGGCATTTCCCCTAGTGGGACTGTATACATCCTGCATTAGGTGAAGGTCCTGCATGCAGGTTAAGAACCTATGCGAACAATTGGATTTGGCTGACTGTTCCTCTCAACAGATGTCAGGGTAGTTTAGGTCCCCCATGACAACCACATCCCTAGACTGTACGGCCTCTGAGAGCTGCCTCAAGAATTCCAAGTCTAGCTTTTCCTCTTGGTGTAGTGGTCTGTAGCAGACCCCCACCACCAAGTCCCTTTCCCCTCGACCTCCATGTACCCTAACCCACAATGCCTCAACTTTCTCCTCCTCTGATCCCATTTTGATTAGGGTAGATGTATAATTCTCCTTTACATAGAGAGCAACCCTGCCCCCTTTTCTCCCTACTCTGTCCCTTCTATACAACTTGTAGCCCACAATGTGTACTGCCCAGTCATGGGTAGGGAAACAACCAGGTGTCTGTTAGCCCCACTAAATCGAAATTATTACCTGCAAGCAGAAGTGCAAATTCTTCCTGATTTGTTCCTCATGCTCCTAGCATTAGTATAGAGGCACTTGAGCCCTCCGAATGGTGCCTTTGGTGCCCCCCGCCCCCCCATTCTGATGCCCAAAGCGCCCCTTGGTACTTGCCTGAGGGGTACTGTTGCATGTCTCACAGTTTGTAGGTTCTAGACTCTCTCCATCTCCTGCCTCCCCATCCCCCATCATACTTAATTTAAAGCACAGCGTAGGGCTCTTGTGCACCTTGACTGCCTGGAGCTGTTTTCTGAAATATTCCTGCCAGTGCATTGGCTTAGAAATGCTGAAGGTGCAAATGCTATCTTAGGTTCAAAACCTTTAGTACACATTTCTTATGCACAAAGCTGTTGAGTGTTTGAGAAGGATCTGAATTTCCTTGGCTACTTGACTGCATACCACTTGGAGAATATACACCTCTTCTCCTGTTTGCCTGAGGGCACATCTTAATCTTCTCTCAGGAATGTAAGGCAAAGTCAAGGTGGAGAAGAACATTTTGTGTGGGATGGAAAATCATTGCTCAGTCTTGCTTTTTGGGGAAATCACTGGCCTCTGCAGTGGAGTATAGCGGCAGATCAAGGGAAATCATTTCTACTACTCCTAAGTTTATAGGAACTCTAAGAGATGATTTGGGGAACTTCCATTTATGAATGGTTGTGTAATGCTCAGGGACAATGAGGATGGGTAAAAAGATAGAAAAGCATGATTGGACTACAACTGGATATAGTGGATCTGGCAAATAGACAACCTAGCACAAAAGAACAAAATATTTGTAAAATACAGTCCTTCCTAAACTTGAACAACATGTAGTCAAAGTACACCCTGGAACACTACCCAACATACATTTCTCCTGATTCCAGAAAATTTGCAGCCACTCTACTGTGAAATCATACAACATAGAACCTGTCAGAAGATAGTACGTAGAGAAGAGATGTTGTAGCAGTGAGCAGTCAGCACTTTTGACACTGGAACCTCATTCTGGAACAGATATTACAGATCTTGAGGATGGAAGTCACTAACTTGGGGGGGGGGGGGGGGGGGGGGGGCTTAGTATTTGACTTTAGAGACCTTCTTCCTAGGGATGTTCGGGAGGGATACCTGAATTTTTTAGCAAGATTTGAGAACATCTCTTTCACAATTGATAGCTGAACTATCTGAAAAAGCACAAAGGATTCTTCAGTGTTCAGAAAATGGGTGACATATTTTGATCTGGATAGGAATACCATTGTACCCAGCAACTATAAATAGTCAGATTTTTCATTCAACTGCAATGTGATTTCCTATCAACTTGTTTTCAGTGCAGTGTTAGCTTGTTTTCAGTGCATCATGTTATCAGTATTGCTCATTTTTCTGTGTGTCAGCCAGGGTCAATAAGAAGCATCTTGAGATCATAACTGTCTGAAGAAATCTGAGGATACGATCAACAGATCAGAGGTTGCAGACTCATAATTTATTTATGTATTGTTCACTGTCGAATGAGTCATGCAAACCTCTATTTTTATACCGTGCCATCTGGGTTAATTTCAGTCCTGGGCTTTTTTCCTTTGCTATTGAAGCTGACAAAAATCATAAGATTGTTAGTTGTGCCCCTAGACTACAATCCTAATATTTAGATTTTTCTTGAATAACATCTTTTTTCAATTACAAATTCAGTCCATGAGAGACTGTTCTGAGTATACTCAATTTTAACCCATTTCAGATTGCCAAAAACTTCCATACATCAACTAAGAGACAAACTGTCAATATGAGGTCTGCAGTTATTTATTCTATTTCAAAATACAGTAAAAGCTCTGTTATTCATCATCCCCTGGGAATGGGGGATGGTGGATAACAAAATATTCCGGTTAATTGAGTGGCCCCGGCTGCCGCTTCTCCCGCCGCGTCTGGGGTGTCCCTCCGCCCCTCCTGTGGCATTACCACCCCTCCTGCCACATCACCATCTATCCTGCGGGCCCCATGGAATAGGGAGGCAGGCCCCTCACAGGCCTGCACAGCCTGTTATGCCCCCGGGCCATGGGGGCTCAGCAGCGCAGGCTGCTTTGCCCCGGGCCTTGGGGGCTCGGAGAAACTGGAAGCGCCACAGTGGGTACTTCCAGTTTCACTGTATCTTACAAACCAGCATGCCGGTTAGTGGAGCATGCTGACTTGTAAGATGCCAGATAGCGCAGCTTTTACTGTGTATGGATTTTTGGCCTCTCTCTGATGTTTCAGATAGGTAACATCTGAATAATGTTAATTTTTGCATTCAACAACACATCCTTTTAATCTTTGTGATTGTAACTAGTTTTAATCTAGATTTTGTCTCAAATCAAATCATATAAATGGGTTTCAGTCTGGTCATTATCCTTAGTCGAACACATTTAATGATACATTTGTTCAAATCAACAGCTTATGCCAAAATCTTCCATGTGACATTACTGACAGCAGCTGGAGCAACTGGTTGGTGCATGCTACTCATATAATCTGACCAAGTATTATAAAGATTATCAAATTGTATGAATGACAGGCTAGAAGAGAGGTAGCAGGATTTTATTTTCTCATTGAGTTAGATTCATTATGTGCCAAAGAATGGTGAGGGAATGCAGATCTTTTTGCTGTGTAATCTTCATCCCAATACATTTCCAAAACGCATACCAGCTGTTTCACCAGTTCTCTGTTTTGTCTTTCAAATGGTGTGAATATTTTTCCCGTTGATTCTGATAGTGCTAATACTGGTTTATTAACAGTAGTGTGGATTTGTGAAGTCCCGTGTAACTTAAAGCTGGCTGAACAGGTGGTCATTTGAGGAAACTTTATAATTAAATCCAAAGAAGTATCCCTCTTGTATATTCACTGGTCATTTTTTGTGGTATCTCTTTCAATTCCAACCTGCCTACCAATTATTTACAGTATTAATCATTTTTAAGATGTGTTCTCTGTTTTGCTATACTATTCACTAGGATTTAAGGAAGAGGTAGTTATTGATTTTTTTTTTCAAGTAGAACTTGTAAGAACTACAGAAACTATAATGATAAAAGACGTTTAGATGAAAGAGTTGGGTAAAAATATTGCTTCAGTCCACATTCTTGGAAGTATTTTGACTATTGTAAGCTGCAATTAATTTTATCATCTGAGGGTCATATTTGAAAGGAATATATTATTTGGTCATGTTTCACTTTCAAAAGCTAAAAGAATAACATTGCCTGGTAAGCATTTTGTCAGAGAAATAAAATAAATACTAATGAATCCTAAAGCTTATTTTAAAATGTTGTTTCAGGAACTTCTATTACATCACAATGTTGAGGGATCCGGTGTCACGGTACTTGAGTGAATGGAAGCATGTCCAGAGAGGTGCAACATGGAAAACTTCCCTTCATATGTGTGATGGAAGAAGTCCAACACCAGACGAGCTGCCTACCTGTTATGAAGGAGATGACTGGTCTGGAGTCAGTTTACAGGAATTCATGGACTGTAGTTATAATTTAGCCAACAACCGCCAGGTGCGCATGCTGGCAGATCTCAGCCTAGTTGGATGTTACAATTTGACTTTTATGAATGAAAGTGAAAGGAATATGATCCTATTACAAAGCGCCAAGAACAACCTGAAAAACATGGCCTTCTTTGGACTCACAGAGTTTCAGAGGAAAACTCAGTATCTCTTTGAGAGGACATTCAACCTGCAGTTCATTTCCCCATTCACCCAGTTCAATGTTACACGAGCCTCAAATGTAGATATCGATGAGGGGGTACGGAAACGCATAGAGGATCTGAATTTTTTGGATATGCAGCTTTATGAATATGCTAAGGACCTATTTCTTCAACGTTTTCAGTACTCTAAGCAAGAGGAGCACCAGAAGAACCGGCAAAAAAGGCGAGAGGAGCGGAGGCTGCTGCGGGAGCAAAGGGCTCACCAGTGGTCAAAGGAAGAAACTGCGGAAGAAATCACCGTTACAGAAGATTACAATAGTCAGGTGGCAAGATGGTGAAACTCTTCAGTCTCAGCCAAAAGAAACACAGATTGGAAAGGTTGTGTGACTGTACAACTTTGGTAACTCACAGATTAGACAAGAAATGACTATTGTTTGGTAAATAAGACAAAGTCTAACCATAGGCTTTCTTTGTCTTAGTAGTTCTTATTTTCTGTCAGCTAGAAGAACATTATTCTTCCTCAATGCACATTAATTAATGTTACTAAATGGCGATAGTATAGATTCCTATTCAAAATAAACTTCCTACAAGACCATAAGCTCTGAGAATAGCTTGACCAGGTAGCTCTTTCCTTTGCTTTAACAGATGTACTCTTCATAATTTGAGCTACTGAAATTTGTGAAAATGTGAATAAAAAATTGAAGACAAAATTTGAGTCTTACTACACTGTTGAAGATGGTCTATGTCATACTATCCATTGTAACTGTATTATGTAGCTTTGCACTAAGTGAAACAGAGAAAACCATGTTGCTCTTGAAACACTTACAAGCTGTGTTTTCAATAAGAAAAAAAAGTAATTAATCCAAGTGATTTAATTACATCAAGCACTAAGTGGCACACAGGTTTAACATGCTCATTTTTCTCATGTGAAAGGCTATAATCACTAGTGTTTTAGAAGAGAAACGAGTTAGCTAGTTTCTACCTAATTCTAGCAGATGTTGGTGCATATTACCAAATCTGCTAGTAGGCAACCTTCGTTCTGAAAGCTTGGCAGAGGAATGGGACAGTTGCTGTAACTGAGAATGTCTGCAGACCAGGCTTTGCTTAGATTACTTGACTGAAGGTTATGATATCTGCTTTGACTTTCACAAAAGGTGAAATCTATGAACAGGATAATGGGAAAGATTAAAAAAAGGGAAGGAGAAGAGGAGAAAAAGTTTCAGTATGAATCTGACATTTTCCAAATCTGCTCTAGAAGCATTGTCTATAAAAAGGTTCTTTTATATTGAGTGACAAGAACTAATATGGTTTTCTTTCTAGAGACTGCATTGGTAATGATCTATCAAATTTAGATTTTTTTTAAAGGATACAAAAGGTGTGTGAACAAATCTTGCAATTTGTTACTAATATTAATGTGCTATCTTCTCCTGTGCACGGTTTTACAAATGTATATATCCCAATGCTTGAGTTGAAAATATTCTAAAAGTCTATAGCTTTCCTGTGCAACAGATCTTTATCTGGGTTTTTTTAAATGTTGACTAGCAAAAGATTTATAATAATTGATTCTTTCTTCATATTTTAGGTTCTTGGGACTAAAATAGTATGTCTAGTTCAGAGTTTTCTGCTGTTTGTAATGGTGTATATGCAAAAATAATTTTTGAGATACATTTTTCCCTTGTTGCATAAATCTAGCATTATGTGGGCCATTTTTCAAAGTGGTTTCACCATCTGTACACCTCCAAATTTAGTTTTGCATTCATGAATGGTTTTTTGCTTATCCCCCCAGTTACTAAAATCAAACTACTCAATCTAGGTTCACAGATGTGAGGTTTAGGGGACAGTAAAGAAAAGTTATTCCAAAATTATTTTGCACAGAGAGAGATTGCTTTTGAAAACTTGTCACTACATTTCCAAACGTTGTCTTATTTTCAGGGCACACTGATATTTTAGACTAACAAAACACTTGTCAAAACATCAGTGGCAGTTAGTGCATACAAAAATGTATTCAAAACAGGAATTCCTACAAAGTGAGTATAACTAATACTAAAGGGGAAAAAAGACTACCAACTTGCCTTGTTAGCTGTAGAGTGCAAGATTTTGTTTGGTAAGACAGCAGCTTTTCAGTCCATGTTACTTCATCTCCCTACATCTCCACCTGGGCAGCTGGTCATGAGAAGCTAGGCCACATCCACAATATCACAACCCTGTAGCGTGGCTGATGCATTGCAGGCAATATTTTGCTACTAGGCTCCAGACAGAGCTGGTGCTTTTCTGTCAGAGGTAAGAGGTCTGACTTTTCAGTGTATAGTGCTAGAGCACAGGGAGAAGAAGGACCAAGGGAACATGAGTTTGTGTTGTACTTCCCTGCTTCTTCAGACCCAACAGCAACTAAGTAAGGATAAGGAAGAGTGGATCCCTCTGACACTGTGGTGGGTACTGGGTAGGAAGGAGAAATGATTCTGAATCTGAAGATGTGTTTTCTGCTTTGCAAAGATGGGGGAGGCTGTGTTTATAAGACCTGGAGGAGTAGGAAGGAAGACGAGGATGGAGCCAAACTGGAGCCATTAGGAGAGGTGGTCTGAGTTTGAAGATGCCAGGGGGAGGGGTAGGAAATGGAGCAGATGATGGTGTTGGGAGGAAAGGAGCTTACTTTCTGAGCTGGGAGGGTAAAGGGTGCTTTTGGTTGGGTTGAGTGCAGAGTAGAGCAGTGTCAGCTGATGTGGGCTGGTGCAGGTAGGGTGGAAGGAAGGGTAAGGGAAAAGAAGAGTTTAGAGAGGTTGGAAAAAAGAGAACAGAAAGGAGATAAACAGTTTTCTTCCCACCTGCCTTTTACTGCCAAGTGACCCTTATTTTTCACTCTGAAAGCAGGTGGGTGCTCTTCTCCTTTCTTCCCTGCTGTTCTTTCTTTTCACCTAATGAAATTCCTCCCTCCTCCTCCCCTAGCCACAGTGATCCAGTGTTTCACTTTGACAGCATTGCCCTCCCGGGTGAGGGGAGAGGGATGCTGGGAGCTTGCTGCCTGCAGCAACACCTATTACTGTGCATCCAGCACCCCCTCTCCAAACTGCTCCTGCTGTGTGACATGGAGCAAATTTTATCAGGGACAATGAAAGCAAAGCCTCCGGGTGGCTGAAAAATTTGTTTTAAAAGTCTGGCCGTACATTAATATTAGGCCTAACCTTTTAGTCAGTCATCTCCCAGAAGGGAAAACCCAGTCTCTGATGGCTGCTAGTGTGCAATGGCATTTATGTTAACAAGAGGCATAATGCCTGAGATTTAGTTAAAGTTCATTCTTGCTGAGCCTTCTTTGCACATACAGGTGTTTGCACAGGAACAACTGAGCCAGTCAGCCAGTCTCTAAAGGTCATCAAGACTAAAGACTGCATCCAAAGCCTTCCCAATGACGTCAGCAGCTTCAGAAAAACCCACAGTCAGTTCACCTTGAGTATTATTATTAGCAGACGTTCCAAAATAATTTATGCCACTAATCAGAGGAGCAGGCTGGATTCATAGCCCTGTACTCCAAGCTTACATTTCTGTAACTCCACTGATTTTCATTGTAACTATGTTGATTTAAATGAGTCCAGAATTTATTTTAGTGTGTTTATTTCCAAAACTTTGCAAGCACTATTTAAAAAAAAAAAAACAAGCAAAGATATTGGATCTCTCTTCACATTCATGGCTTCTTTTATTACTGAATGGAGTAAGAAAACTGTTGCCTCCATTCTGCTACTGTGATGCTCCATTACTCACTTTCCTGTAATGCAGATGTTGTTGCTATTCTTCCACATCATGTATTCACTACTTGCAGCATATTTCCAGATACACTTGAATGCAGGTTCATGCTAGGAAAAAATCCTGCTGATATGTTGAGATTTGGCAGTTTTGTTTGGTGTAAGAAGTGAACATATTGTCTGTGGCCTGTATTTTGTCAAAAGATGAAAATCAAGCCTATCTTCCCTGCATGCCAGAGTGTATACACACACATTATCACACACACAACTTTGTACCAATACAGCATCTTTTTCTCTGCCCCAGTGCCTTTCCTTACAACAGCCTGTGGCAGTGATGAGAATGTAAAAAAAATGCAAGAAAATCTCCTTAGCGACATATGTTTTTGGTGGTGGTTAGTGATGCATTGAATCTAGAAAACTGGATCCAATTCCTCTGATGTTTGTGAAGGTTTGTTTCAGAGCCAAACCTCACAGCTGTGCTGTATCTGTAATAGGCAAAACAGAATGTCAGGTTTGAACTTTGGGAAAATTCCTATATTTGGTTTCAGACTTGGCAGCTTGGCCCCATTTCTGGATTTCAGCCTCTTCCATTCCTGTCATCAAGTAATTGGGCCAAATAGAGCAGTGATATAAGCAGTGTGATAAGTGACACATGGGCTAAGTACAGACAGTCAAAAAGCCCAAGGCTGGATCAATTCAATCTTCACAGGTTAGTCTAAGCTGTGTAGATTGAGCTGGTAAGAAAGTGAACAGACATTCATTTTTTATTTCAGAAATCCAGCCATGTGCCTGTAGTGGCCCAGGCCACAAGCTGGGGGGTGCTATGACATCTCTCCCTGCTTGGCTGAAGCAGACGGTTTGGGACAAAGCTAGCCTGCCCGCCCTGTGAGAGGAGGTTTGTGGGGAAGGTGCAAAGCATCCTGGGATGCTGGGGAACTAAGAGTTAACTTGAATCTGGAGGGGATCTGGGACAGAACTTCTGTAAACCAATTTAGTAATAGAAGTAACACCCACTATAGGCCAGATCTGAATTTGTTCCCTAAGAGTGTTTCAGTCTCTGGTGTCAATTAGCGTGGGAGACCTTCCCAGTGGTTAACCTTCTTGCTATAAGCACTCTTTCTGCCCCATTAATGACTTGTTTCTCGGACCCAGAGCAATTCTGATTAATGTCCATGTTGTACATTACACATTAAATACTATATGGATGCAAAATGCTCTCTGCATGGATTCATGAACTCCCTTGTGTTGGTTTTCCACCACTGCTATGTGACTGACATCCCTGGAAGTCCTTTTGATTTTAACCAGGCTAAATGAGATCAGAATGAAGTCCCCAGTGAATCCCAAACTTCTGCAAATTAAGACGATGGAAAGTACTGTGCTGTTCAGTCAGAAAAAGAGAGCTGTTGTGACGGCACTGAAAACTACTCTTCCCTAATAACAGCAACAAGGTACTCAGGAAAGAGATCTAGAATTGTGTTTAAATGCCTCTTCTAGTTTGGTTTTGCAATTTTTTTTCTATGGATAGCAGTCAATTCTCTGGGTTATAACAAACTTCACTTCTTGGCCATCTCAAGGAGTTTTGTGATTCGCTTGTCACATTTCAT